TGCTTCACTCCCCAAAAAGCTCTCAAGTGAGTAGGGTGCTGTCCAGTGTCATTCTGTCACCCTTCCTGTTCAAAGCATATACGTGGGACCACTATGAGGCATTAGGTGAGGTGTTTTCAATATGGTAATGACAACCACCTCTATGTCTCTATTTTGACACAATCAGATGATGTGATTCAACGCCCCAGTTGGAACCTAGCTCAGACTGAAGCCTAGATGAGAATGAGCTGGAAGAAGCTCCATGCTCAGGAAACTGAGATGATGTTCATGGTGGCTTGGAGGAAGCAGTCAGAGATGGCAAAGGCAATATTAGTTCCTTTGGTTGAGGGAGTATTTCAACCATTAGTCACCAGGGTTTTAAACTTGGGGCTGATTCTAGATCCCTGGCTACTACTGCAATCATATTAAAACAGCTTTTCACCATGAGCATCTGGCCAGGAGGCTGTGACATTTTGATTTGAATGTAGACTTTGCTACTCTTTATATAGAGACTTTTGCAATGCACTCTACATATGGTTACACCTTAAAACCATTTGGACATTGAGGCTAGTGTAGAATGCAACTGCTTCCTTTGTAAGCCTATTGAACTCTGGGAGGGAGTTTAAGGTGTTGGTAGTTATCTATAATTCCCTAAATGGCTATGAACCTGCCCACATGAGAGCGCCCTTCTCCTTATGCCATACTACCACAGCTGCAGTCAGCACACATGTTTGAGCTGGACCCCCATCATTATCAAAGATGACTGCTGGCAGGGGGTTCTTTGCAAGGGCTCAGCATCTGCATCAGCAGATATGGAATTTGCTCTCCACCTTCATCCTAACTAAGCTGAATTCGGTGACTGCCTGGGCCATTGTAAAAGTCATCTATGTGATGGGGTTTTGGAAAAGGTTAAGGCTATGAACCTGGAACAATGAAGGGGGTGGGGGAAGGAGCTTTTTTGGTAGGTGGCTGGTTGATCAGACTCCCGTCTGATTGACTGTTTTAATGCGGCTGAGTTTAAACTATAATTGGCAGGGCACCAGATGCCTTGTTGAAGCATCCTTTTTATTAATGAAATGAAAATAAATGAAATCCTTGTGAAACTTTAGCTGGTGGGAATGCATCTGACTGCTTTCTTACTAGCATTGTTCACAGAGAACACATTATATCTGGGCTACCGAAACTGCACTGGCTTCTATAAGCTGACAGGGGTAATTCTCTATCTCGGTTCTTATTTAGGCTTATCAATGTGGTGTGTGAGAACTGATGGCTTTTTGTCCAACTTACTTTAGAGACAGCCTTTCTTCTGCGATACCATGACAGCTGAGATTAGCTAAGGTGTTTGAACTAACAGCCACCTTTGAAATGGGAGGTAACTGATCACCAGGTGTGACCAATGAGGAATCCATTTCTAGAACAATTTGCACCATAGGCCTGATCTATAGCTAAAAATTAGATTGGCCTAGCTATGTCACTCATGGCTGCAAACAATGTCATACCCTGAGCACTGCAGTTGGGACAGCCTAACCCCTGAAGTAGATATGGGTAGGTTAATGGAAGAATTTGAAAATTCTTCCAGTTTCCCTCGATTCCTCTCTGTTTAATGCATTACCTTCCCCTGCTTCATATTTGCAAAGCTACAACATCCTGCATGAGTAGCCATTCCATCATTCCTGCAGCCTCTAGCGGGAGAACTGAGCTGTGAGCAGCCATCCTGAAAATCCCTGCAGCTACCAGTGAAGAAAGAGAGGTTGGTGACCCTGAAGATCTCCGTTTAAAGCTGTGATGTACACAAACCCTGTTTTTAAATGGTATATATTTCCAAATTTATGAGCGCAGAAGGGCATACTAGATATATGCATGGCTCTGGAAGGAAGATTGAAGGTAGTGGGTTGCCATGCTTACATTCACTGTAGGAAAATTGCTCTCCCCAGCCTTTGTGAAATTGGTATTTTCGTGCTTGCATCTCATTATATTAGAGAAGGCCTGCTGCTCCTAAATCCATTCTGAGTTCACCAACAACCGAGTGGCATTCACTAGACTCAGTGTTCTATTTTGAAGCAGGATTACAGTCAATCTCAGCATATTCAGAATGAAAAACTAAGAGAAAGCAATGAGATAAAGGGGGAAAGCTATAGAACAAGAGGAAGTGAGGGAGAGGGAAACACAACTCAGAGATGGGAAAAAGCTCATTAAAAAGATTTTCCTATTCCAGCACAGTAATGAGTTTCCATTCTTTAGTCCGAATTGTTTTCAATGTTTATACTTTTTCTCTCCAAAAATCAAAACATGTTTTGCCATAGAAATATCACGGGTAGAGTTTAGAATGTCCACTGCAGGACTGTTAGGTAGATGTGTCCTCTGCAGATAAACACCGATAGGGGAATTAGGAAATTCCAACAGCAAATAAGTAGCAAACTGAAAAGAAAAAAAAATCTAGAAGAGAAAGTGAAAGGCTTAGAGGGAGAATGTGAGAGGCATCACAAGCAGGAAATAAAAATACTGAATGCAAAAAAAAATAAAAACTGTGCAGAAAGAGGGAAGATAATTGTAGGAAAAACAATACAAAAAGTGTGCAATAAAACATAAAAGACATGCTGGATCAGATCAATGGTACATGCAGTGAAGCATCCTCTCTCCCACCACAGGCAGTACCGGAAGGTGGTGTATAACCCCCGTAATGGACAATTATACAACAACATGGATATTACAGAAGCTTCTTCCTGAAATAGGCAGTTGGTGATTGACTTATGTCCTAAAGTATGTAGGTTGATATGCCTTATAAATGTTTAGTGTAGATAATGTAACTGTCGCTGATATTCACATAAATGTCTAAGCCTTTTCAAGATCCTACTAAATACTTTGCCTCAATAATTGTGAACAAATGTACTTCTTTTTTAGTTTAAACATCTTGCCTTTTAATATCATTGGTTGTCCCTTGTTCTTGCACTATAAGAAAGGTGTATATAAGAGTACCCTAACCACTTTCTCTATGCCACTTACGATTTTAATATATGTTTATCATCGCACTTTTTATTTGTCTGCTCTCTAATCTAAATAATCCCAATTTATATGTAAATCATAAACTATTATTTTTCAAGAATCAGACTTCTGAACAATGAACCTAAGAGCTCTTCCCTCCTTAAAATATGTCTTTAAACAAAGGACTAATCTTGCTCCATCTGCACAATAGTCATTGCCTCAATTTGTGTCAAATGTGTCAGATACACAGGTAAAAATACACAATCCCAACTACACTTTGTTAAACAGATTCAGCAATAACTCTTAGAAGACGTTAGTGAACCATGACCCGAAATCACTCCTAGGCAAGTCTGGAATGCCAGCCTTTATAAAAATCACAGTTAATAGTAAAGGATTTACATTCCAAATGCCAACACTAACAGCAAGTTTTCTCCCTTTATACTGAATTCTTTTCAGTGTCTGAACTTTTTTTCCCTCTCCTCAAAAACAAAAACACAAGTTTTGCCCCAGGGAATATCATGGTCACAGCTTGAAAGAAAGAAGCAAAGAATTTGTAAAGCCTGAGAATGACATGAATCATTGATGGTTATGCAATTTTCTCTAACTCTTGAGTCATCCAAATTCAGAATATGTAGCTTTCCATTACACAATGACATAAAATTCATTGTATCTATTCAGTCTCAAATGGGCCAGATCTTGGATTTTTGTTCATTCCAATATAAATGTAAAAGCTGTGTATGAAGTTCAGATCTGGATCCAAACTGCCTTAGAGGTGGTTCAGATCTGAGGCCCTCTTAAAAAAACACTCAGCTTGAAATGTAGTCAAATTTAAAAAATGAATTAAAAGTAGGTATTACACCTTCCCGAGTTTCAGGTATTACATGTGCCCGAGTCCCCCTGCCAACATTTGTGTTTACAAGCATATTTCCCTCTGTAACTACATAATTATATAAATAGGAAACAGTGAAATTTACTATACAAAGAGTGCTGTCTCAAGCACAAAGTCAGATGTTTAAAGGTATTTAGGCACCTGAATACCTTTCCACATCCATCCCCAAATAAACAAACTCAATACATAGGGCATATTTTGGATGTAAATATTCACTTTAGAAAATGGTTATTAGGTTCAATACAACTTCCATTGAAGTCTATGGTGCTCAGGTACTGTAGGGATGGCAGTCACGTAAGCAGCTTGATAGGTCAGTTGATTTCTATTAACTTCTCCCACCAAATATCTACAGAAAATGTGGCACTGTAAGAATGCCTGCCTATGTTTAAAAATATACTGAGATGCAGTATAGTGTTTTCTATTCTTTAAATCATTTTGGTCTTAGGTTACCATATTTAGTACACTACAGTTATATCTGACAAGAATATATGATCTCTTCACCATCCCTTACCACACTATAACCTCAGGACTCAAACCATTATTATTCTGATAATCCACATGCAACAAGCTGATCTTTTTACAGTTTCTTAAAATATCCAAAACCTTTTTTTAAAAATATAGTGAAACATTCCATGAGCCAGAGCTCATCTTATGGCCCAAAAGCTTAAACAGTTCAACTGACCCTCTGCCAACTCCTGTTCTTCTGTTCCTGGCACCATCTGCAGTGTTAGTTGCAAAACTACTCACAAGTTAACCACATGGATGGCAGGAGCGAGTAATAAACTACAATGACGTTTAAGATAATGTGGTTTTGCCACATACTGCAAGACACGGTTGTCTGGTCAAGTTACTTAGACACCAAATTCTTTTTTCAAGTACAGAGGTGTAAATCTGAAGTAACTCAATTGAAATGGGAAATGAATGGATTTACAACAGTGTAACAGAATGGAAATTATGACCTAACGATTTTTCAAGAAATAAAAATAATTCCATCTCTATCTCAAAAACTAGCTCCCCCCCCGAATAAAATTATAACTTTTTAACTTACTTCATATATATCAATGCTCTGAAAGTAATAAACAGACAGTATACTAATCAATGTAGTAATATATATGCTGGAATAATCAGGAACTCAGTATAAATTACAGACCTTTACAAAAGCAGATTGCTTATCAGCAGCCCCATTAGCGTACTTCTGAAGGAAGGTTAAAGAGTCTCATGGCCAATCCTATAAGATCAGGAAACAAAAGTTAAAAACAATGACCTCCCGTAGATAAGAGAAAAAATTGTTTCCTCAGGAAAGAAATGCTAAAAAGCTGACTGTAGCATTAATGTAGAGGCTATTAAACATCTGAAACTATGGAAGCAGAAAGATCATTACAATTATTTAAATATTGGAAAGTCCAAGTTCAGAGCTCAGAAGGGTCTATTTACTATAATTCAGAAAAAAGAGAATGCAAAATAACATTAAGTTATTTTTAAAAATGCTATTGAAAACAGTTTTTATAAAATTGCAGTGGATACATACAACTGGATTGTAAAAAATAAGAATGCTGCACTGATTTATATTCTCTTTGAAATGTCTATAATACAGACCTTAAACTGCATTTTCAAACATATAGCATATCAAAGCAGCAGACGTTTATTTCTAGCCTTGGTACTTCCAGGCTTTTAGTTCAATGAAACAAGAAATAGTCTAGTGGAGCTATGCTACATGATAAAGGATGTAGTGATGGGTCCTGCCCTACATCAGTAAACAATTTTTTTTTCCTTTTAACTGACAGAAAGAATTTCAGTGGTAAACAAATGCCTAAGCCTTTTATGAATTCTTCAACACAATCATGGAAAACCTGCCTTTTCATATCTCCAGTGTATGCTATTCAGAGTCAAAATACAAATTCTATTCCCTAAGAAGCATCAGTTGCTATGTTTTCCATTATGGCAACTATGATACACAAGGGTAAATCTAATGCTCTATAGCTTTCAGCTACAATCCCTCTGGAATCCACACCCACTGTTGTAAGGATAATTATCTGGGTATCCCCAAGGCCAACTCTTACAATTTTCATATAAAAATCACCTCTTGCATAAGACATGAAATTTAAAATCATCTCCTTCACAGATATCACTGAGTCATTCGTTACCTCTGGGACATATATAAATTATACATTCTTTGATTCTCTTTAAAATTTTAGATGCACAGGGGACAAAGAAGCATCTCAATGGTACTAAAAATATAAGGCATTCAAGAAAGAAACAATAACTTGCATGGTATTAACTGCTACAGTGCTCCAAGGCTCCCTGCCTGGTCAAGAAAAGCACATAAAGCACTGAAACATAACAGCAGGCTTGCATGCTAATGACTGCTAGTGACAAGGACTCATTGAATGTCACTGCTTCACATACTGCGTACTGTTCATTTTTCTTATCTGTGTGACCTCTCCTTTGAAATGACTGATGAAACTCATGAGAATTAGCATCTCTGCTTCTGGGCATACCATCTATAGTAAAACACAAAAACAGAAAACAAAACAAAAAACAGCCTACATGAGCATTGTGAAGGTTCCTTTATCTAGATTATAAAAGGACTGCTTTGTGAAGCTTCATCACTGAGTTAGCTTTTACCTTGATGCCCTTTAAAAGTATTGGTTTGTCACAGTACATGCATTCATATGTCAGATTTGGCTAACATTTTCATAATTGGCGTGAATAAAAAAGGAATAGCTGTTGCTGCAAGAAAAAAGAAATGTCTCTGTTCTAATGCCCTGCTGCTATAATGACCTATTTCACACTAGCATCTGTTCTGTTCTGATGAACCACTCCAGACGAAAGCTGGCAAAATAGCACTGCAAGTATGTTATCCAGACATCCACTGAATGCTGCAGATGCTTCGTTCCATGGTTCACATTTAATATGTGACTGATTAATTTTTTCTTTATTATTTCAACTACTTGGCTTATAGAATTTCCTAGAACTTCTGAAAATGCAGGATTGGCTTCACAGCCAGAAGGATGGCATCCTAAGAAACGGCCTTGGCACTAGCAGATTCATTAATATGTCCAGAAAAACAAGTGCCAAGTCATGTGTGTTTGAATGGCTGAAAGTTGCCAGTTAATTATGAATTCCAGAGGAATGTAAACTTCAGTAACACATTGTATTTATAACATTTGCCTTCAGAATAAATACAACATTCATTTCAGTTTTCAAATTACAGATATTTGCAAATACTCAGCTGTTGAAGAATGGATCGCTATGACCAAAAATGTTATGCCCACTCTCTGCCTCAAGCCCTTGACCTAATGAGGTTAGTGACAGGGATATAAATGACTTAAAGAGAAAATGAAATACAAAAGTAGTTTTATCTTGAAGTGCAATATTTCTTCTGTAACTTAACCAATTTTTTTCATCTCAAAATTACAGGGTACACTACAAATCTTCAAGGCTAGCAGCAGCTATGACACCCTAAGTGCTATTGAAAAACATAATAATTTATGAGTTGGGTTGGTGGAAAAAGCAGAGGTCACATAGGAGAGTCCTCAGGGAGGTGACGATGACAAAGGTTACAAAAATGTCTGAATGAGACAAAACAGGTGTAAATCCACTGACTTCAATAGTGTTTCTCCAGAGTTATGTTACCGTAATTGAAAGTAGAATATGACCCAATCAATTGCTGGCAAGAAATCAAGTATATTATGAAACACAATTTTCTATCTGAATCCAAGAGGAAGTTCTCTCATATACTTCAAATAAATTTTTCACTCTTACCTCCCAACTTGACCACTGATATACAGTGTATCGATCTGCATGGAACCTGGCGGCAAGAGCATAGGTTGCAGGAGGGAAGTGTTTGGAGGAGGAACCAGGAAGTGAATCTATATGTACATAGCTTGAATGGTAGCTGAAGTTGCAGCATCTCTTTAAATAGTTCTTTTAATAAATATCTAGCTTAGTTTTAGAAACATGGATTCCTCATGTTATTACCCAACATTTGGTTCATGAAACCTATAGTATGTAGATTTGTACTAGGAAAAAAAGTAGGAAATTAGTAGGAATCCTCAGGGTGGACATCCTTTTAAATAAACGGCACGTATGCATATCTTCTAGTTTTTCTGTCTACTCATTTCCACTTTGCCGGCCATTTTTACACTGTTGTTGTGGGAAGATGTTTGCCTACAGATACTTTGCTGTAAGATGCTACAGCCTAGGCTCAGTCTGACTTCTTGTTGAATGGGATTCTGAATCCAAGCATATGCCACAGAGAAAGGTTTGTCCTTGGCTCTGCAAACTTAACCCATTGATGGTACCTGTTGTTCTAGTTCATGAAGAGAGAGAAAAGTAATCCTTTAGAGAGCCAGGGCCTACATCATTTACGGCTCAGATGAATGAAACCAGCACTTGGAATTGTATTCATTATTGGACTGGGAGATAATGTATCGAGCAAAGCTCCAGAGGGAAATGTTCCCATTAATTTGTGTTACTTAGGCCTGATCTACACCAGAAAATTAGGTTGGTTTAACTTCATCGGTCGGGGTGTGAAAAATCCAGATGTTTGAGTGGCACAGTTAAGCCAACTTAAGGTCAAGTGTAGACAGCGCTAGGTCGATGGAAGAATTCTTTCATTGATGGTCATATAGCTACTGCTTCTCAGAAGAGACAGATGTAAGAATCCCTCCCATCAGTGTAGGTAGCGTCTACGCTGAAGTACTATAGTGGTGCAGCTGTAACATTGTAGTGTTTTAAGTATAGACAACCCCTCAGTAGACAAACTGCTCTGCATTAGATCAATTGAAGCTTCTTCATGGCCTCCACTTTCATTACCAGGTATAGTGTATTGCACTACTTGGGCCTGGAAGGAATACATGTGCAGATCACAGTGAGAGGGTCCATACCCAATAAGCATGTAGCCTCCTGTCCAGCCTGAGATGGAAAAAGGTGTTTCTGGTTCTTTGGAAATGCAGAAGCAGCAAAGACATCAGAAGAATTCTGAGACTTCACACCATCATAAAATAAGAGGGCATATGCCCTCAGTGGAAGGAGAGGTCATTATTGAAACCAAGTTACTATGCTGGCTGGGTCTGCGTGTGTGATACATCCACAGACAGGCCCTGAAAGGAAGGTGCTTCCTGTCTAAGGGAATTTAAAATGTTTTTGGAGTCAGCGGCACCAGGAAGGGAGCTGACTCTGTCCACCCTTCCAGTAATAAATACATATTCTGTTGTTACTGAGCTCATGCCAATGTCATCGCTCCAGGGACTCTGCCTTCTTCCGCTAACCCTCCAAGGAGGAGACTACAAGATCATGCAACATTATTCTTCAGAACACTTCCTTTCCACCTTCACAACTTCCTTCAGTTTAACAAGCTACTCTTTATCCAGGAGTCAGTCTTATGGAGACTTTATGAAATCTCGGTATTATTAGGATCCTAAAACCTTCACTGTTTGATTTCAGATTCATCCCTGCCACGCCACCTCTGCCTTTGGGAACCTGTTGGAAGTTCTTATCACTAGTTTCAGAGAGAAAATGTCAGGTAAAAAAAAATCAAAGAGAGATTTTAGAGCTATATTTTCAAAGGAGCCTTCTAGGGTACATCTACACAGCAATTAAACATACGTGGCTGGCCCCAGTCAGCTACCTTGGGCTTGCAGGGCTTGGGCTGAGGGGCTGTAAAATTGCTGTGTAGAAGAGCTCAGGCAGGAGCCCAAGTTCTTGGACCCTGTGCTGTGAGATCCCAAAACCCAGGTTCCAGCCCGAGCGCAAACATCTTGAGCCCCACGAGCCCAAGTCAGCTGATCTGAGCCAGTCACAGCTGTGCCTCAGGTATTTTATTCCAATGTAGACATGTGGCTAATGGCTTCCTTTTGTGCAAGTATAATTTTGCCTATACAAATCATGTACATGCACAGTTTTTGTGCAACCACATGCACATACAAAACATTTCTGTTTTTGACTCATGTTCAGTTTGTGCAAGCACTCATTTTTGTGCATGTACATTCTATCATTTGTGTGCAAAAGAACCAGGCCTAAAATTTTTTGCACACAAGTTACTGCATACTCACAAATAAAGGCCATGTTCTGTGCATGTAAATTCCACTTGTGTTTGCGAAGTGACATCTATACACTTTTGTAATGTGTCCATCACTGTGGAATCTAGAGGTACCTCTATGCCAGGGATTCCCAAACTTGGTTCACAGCTTGTTCAGGGCCACCACTTCCCGCAGCTCCCATTGG